TTCGGCCTTTGGGGAATCCCTCAAATAATAATAATAATAATAATGGTGAACACGGCAATTTCGATCCGCTTCAACTTGCTGGCGATATTGATCTGTGCAGCTGCCGCTGGAGCAGTCCGTGGCGCAGGTCGAGATGCGGTGCCTCCGACATATGCCGGAACTGGGGCGAATACTGCGGTCCGTGGTGCTTGCATGCCAGCGCTGGGTCTCGCACCGTACTGTGACGCTCCGGCAGAGATGGTGTGCGACGGTCCAGTAGACACAGGTGAGTTGTACACGACTGCACTATTGCTCACACTCCACTGCGGTCGCTGTTGTTGGTACATGGATGCCTGCTGCGGCCTAGCACTATTGGTGCCATACGTTGCATACATCATACTAGGTGTTTGATCAGCAGGATCGTGGATCAGGAAGGCACGGCTGTCCCATGCATGCGACGGGCGTTCATTAAATATGGCGGCCAAATTTTAATATTTTTCATTTTTTACGCGACCTGGCCTAGTTGTATGTTTGCAATTTCGCTCGACTTCCATCTCAAACGGGCAAGGTCAACCGAAACCACGGGTGTTTGCCAGGTCATTCGATAGAGTTTAGAGCTTGGACTGGCCTTGCCTTCGACTGTGCCGCCGCTCGAGCGATCTTTTTGGGTTACCCACGCGCTACGCATGGTTTCTTTCTCGACGTGGGTGCAATTATTTTTGGATCGTCGCTCGATTTCAAGGGCTCACCAACCTCGTCAGCGAATTTTCTCCGCCTCGCAGACAATTTTCTAGTATACCTCGATGTCCTAGCCTTTCGATTTCGTGTATTCCTAAGCTTGACGTGCATAACTGTAGCTTTTCGTGGCCATGTTAGAGACGTTATTTTGTTCAGAAATGGAGGCTCATGTTAGCTTCCTGTCGTCGTGTTGTCGTATTGGAGGGGAGAAATTCGCGTCAAGGAGTGGACGGACGAAGTATCGTGTGGCAGATCATACTCAATCCATTTTGGCAGTGTTTCATCTCAACTTGATGTGGATGAAACCAAATACACCCTGAACTTTTTTGCCACACTTGCAAATTGGCCATGGAATGCACTGCTACTGCCAGGGGCCCAACATTCTCTGGAGCTCCAGAGGTGGATGTACACCGTTCAAAGACTGGGAGCCACACAGTGGGACAAACTGTTTGAAATGCAAGTCTTCCAAGCCTGGCAGGAAGTCCAAATGCAAAACACAAACGCAAGACAAACTTGCGGCATGGGAGAAAACGCGGGCCATCGCCCGCAAGCACGAGCACATGCACGCCGCCACCACTGACAGCAGCATCACCAACAAAACCTTGCCCCACCACACCAGTACCTGATCACTGGATAGTTTAGTCTGTTTGGTTTACGAATTCAAAAAAGGAAGACAAAATAACAAAACTAAAAACACGAGCGTCGCATGGACCGAATCTGATGAGCAGCAGCACGTCACACCCGCATACCAAGTTTAGTAATAGTAGTATAGTATTTATTCATATTTCTCTAGGGCTTAGTGGGTAAATCTCTGCATCCAGAACAGTTCATATAGGAATGCAATAACACACGCACAATGTCCACTATGTCACAGGTAGAGAGAGAAGTGTTTGCAGCTTGCTGGTAGACGTTCAGCCGTGCATGCATTGGCAAATGGCTAGAGCAGACGGCCCGCTGCCCTTAATGTAAGGCACACACGCAAGCGTCAGAGCTACAGCAGCCGAACAGCATAGTTTATGGATTCATGAAAGACTGCACCATACACTGCGCCAGCTCTGGTAGGGTGCCCTATTTGAGCATCGTCACTGGTCGGTGACGTTTTGCAGGCCTCACCATCAAAGATGCGAGGTGATGCTGCTGATCGACTTGCTGGCATGATAGTCACAAGCATAACTAACGAAGGATGGCTGGAAGTCGAAACCAGCTGTAGATGTAGATTCCAGGTATACAAGAGAATTACTGACGCCAGCACTTTATCCGATGCCCCATCAGTGTCAACTGTACGCCGATGGTCACAGGACCGTGACAGCCTTTCGATCGGTCTACGGTCGGGAGACGGGGCTGCAAGCCCAAAGCAGCGGGTATATAGTGTTCGTCACCAGCTGAGCAAGAGAGCTTGCTGAGAGATTTAGGTGTGCACTGTTCAGCAACCAGTCCCAACATAGGTTTGTCCATGAAGGCTGGTGATCCTCAGCTATCATACAACAAATTCCTACTCACTGCGCATATGCGCATATGGCTTGTGAAACAGCAGCAGAAACTGCACTGCCTTGACAAACGCACCAGTTACCATGATGGAGCAGATATGCCAACACCAAATCTCCAATCGCTAGTACAAGTAGCTCTTCACTAAATCATGCCTAGTGCCTGCTGGCAGTGATATTTTCAGCAAGAGCGCTGCAGTTACTGCTGAGGAGATATAATATTGCGTCCTTGAAGTCGAAGGTGCTCATCAAAGATTTCTTGCCATCAATTCTTGGCCTTATGCAGGCACGAGGTGGTCTCCCGTGGCATTGGCCATATTACCCCGAGCTGCACTTGCTCGAGGAGCACGTTGTTTCGCTCATGGAAGTCCTTCGTGTTGGACTGAGTAGGCTTGCTGAGAGAACAGAGCGCTGAATCCATCCACGTCCACAACTACGAATAATTTACAAAAACATTCCTACTGCAGATCAGCGCTTGAAAACGGCGATGCAGATCAGCGACGTTGGGCTTCTCCATTCAAAAGGAGAGCCTTCCTAACGAAGCAATTCTCATGTGACACTACATAGTCTCTCAAGCACTCTAGTTCAGGTCTTCTTCTCTCCATTCCATTATCATTTCGATCTTCACTCGGTCGACGTGATGGTAGTAGCTATGTAAAATAATTATGATGGATTTCTCCCGATCCTCGTCGCGGCTAAAATTTGTTCGGTGTTTGTCTAAATTCTCAAACTGACAGGGTTTACAAGAGAAATGTACCTAATTTTGTGCGATTGATGCAAATAAATCGGAATATGTCCGACTTCATAAATCCGTGCGGTAAACCGCATGAAAGGACGCCATGTCGTTAGTTGGTGCACATGAAGTCACCGTGAAGGCAGAGCGTTGTTCCTGATTTATAGCAGGAGCGTTGCTGCCCGTGGTCATAGTTGCAAATGACGCTGGCAGCACTGAGCTACGTGGCTGGTACTCTGCGGCTGCTGCAGATAAAGCGGTGCATGCATTGCTGTTGATCATATCCGTTTGCGGTGGCGCGTGTGCTGACGCGGTTGCCATGGCAACGGTCGGGAAGGGTTCGGCAGGTTCCCCCACACGCTGACCACTGATCATTACAACACGACTGTCCGGCTCTACTTTTACCCGTTCTCCATAATCTGCAGCCCTGGGCAACATAACCCGCGCATCGTCCTGGCGACCAAGAAACGGAGCATCTTGGAGCGCCGCACGCAGATCTAGAATTTCTCTGCTTTCCTCTCGCACTGATGCCAGTAAAGGCGTTGCCCCTCTCAGTGGCAATTGCTTGGGACTGGGAGTCTGCCTGGTCGACGCTCTCGCTCTGCTGCTCCTGAAGAGCACACTCCTGGCCAATTCCATGGCATCTGAATAGTGGCCTTCCAGCTGCTTGTACTGCTTCTGGAGACCAGCATGTCTCCTAGAGTCAGTGTCCACCACCGCTTCCATGTACTCCATGATGACCTTCTTGGTCTCGTCATACACTGTCGTCAAGTGGCTTCTCCATGTCTTTACGTCATCCTGGTTCGGCACCTCATTCGTTGACTCCACTGTCAAATTTCTCCTCGTATTCGTGAAATCCGTTTTTAGCTCTCGCTTTTTCCGTGCGAGGTCTTCTAGTTTTACCTCCATGATGGCTCCGTGATAACCATCCTCTGCTACCAATAGTTTGGAGTTGACAGGAGGGCATGCACATCGAAACCACGCCTTGTCAACGACCCGTTCTTTCTCAGTTTTAACGACCACACTCAGCAAAAGAACAGAACAACAACAAAGCACAACGACACACCAACGCTGATGTGGCATCGCAAATCCCGTACCGTGCACGCAGGCACTGGGTTGCAACAGAAGAAAGACGCGCTGCAAGCGTGCCAAGCAGCGAGTGAGTACGCAACGCTGTACTAATGCCAGTCATGGCAACGGGAGATAAATAATTATGGAGATCGATCCGGATATCCGCGCATGGTTCGATCGAGAGCAGAGTACGAAAAAAGCACACATTCAAAGTTCAAACTGTGCAACAGAAGCAGAAGCGGAAAACGACAATGAACACTTGTCGTGAAGTGAAGTGCTTCTGTCCAAGGGTGCTTGCACCCGACGGGGTGACAGCGCCCCTAGTCAGACAATACAAGGCAAACGAAATAGAAATTAGCTGAGTCACAGCGCGGGACTCCGAAACGAAAAACCGGTGAGTATGTAACTAAATATTAATTGTTCGTACCTGCTGTACAACGTACCAATTGCTCAAATTCGTAACGTATTTTCAAACTAGCACTCGTAGAATTGTAGTGCGAATGTGCCACTCGATTATAGTAACAACGACAAAGAGATACTCTTCTAAACACAACTGCTTAGGAACAGGAAAGTATTACACAGCTCACTTTTTGCCGAGACTCACTACATGTACATGCAGCTCCGCTCTGCCCCCCCCCCCCCCCCCCCCCCGCGCCCCCCCCCCCCCCCCCCCCGCGCAGTATCGAGTACTTTCTACAAGTATTGAGTGACCAGTCTGGGCTCTATGAGCAGCCACATCACTTCATGCACTAAAAATGGTCCATGACCGGTAAAAAAACCATAACCAGTGCGAACGTCCACTGTGCCCCAAGACCAAGTCACCGGAATTATATCAGATGGAAATTTGACATTCTGTCCACAGACTCCACTATGCTAGTATTATAATTCTGCAATCAGTTCTAGACATTAGACCTATTGATGTTACAACCGTATACGAACAAACCCACACAGATACAATACTCAGTATCCGTAGTAACATTCTGTTAGCTTACCATCTTGTACAGCATGACATCAGTGTGTATGTTCATCACTGCTTGGCAGATAACAGGTCTTTGAACACGGTGATGTGATGCGGATAATTGATCAGCAAATCCGGGATAATGTGGCTGCTTTTCTGCGAGTGCCGAGCGCCATATTTGAGTTCCATCTATCAATGTTGAAATAAATAGTGGAGGAATTCAAAATTAAAGCTCATCCAGGAGATAAACGTCTCTATAGTCAATCCGTCATTGAATATGATATTCAGAAGGGTGAGGCTGTAGGGTCCTAGCCCTAGCACAACTGTTTTTAAAAACGCACACAAATGGCGTAAATCGGTAGAGTTGTATTATTCCCCTAGCTATGCAAAAGACGTTACTTCAGTAACGTCTGGCGCTCTACACAGCTTTAAAGGGAAAGTTAAGCCTAAAATCAAATTTTCACCCATTGTAGTCTTCGGGGTGCTGAGTCGAATGGTCTTGGTCCGAGGAAGCTGAGACGCTCCCTTCCTCCTTTGTTCCCAATCGAACTCGCGCACTTCCACCGAAACCGGATGACCGCACCCTACTAGATGGGATTTGTATGTAAAATGTCACTAAAAGTGCCATTTCGTTCTTATAAAAGCACGTTAACATTCTACTCCCCATGCTAGAGTATAGAGTAGACACACACGCGTGCAGGACGCGACACACCAAAAGACAAGAGAGTGAGTTTGGAAGAATGGGAATGTCGGGCAGAGTAGCTCGCCTCAATTGAGTGCGCGTTAACGAATCGTGTGGTCGGCCTACCGAGGGCAGGAGCTGTGTATGACCAAGTGGGTCGGCCTGCGCTGAGCAGGAGCGGTTTGTGACCCATGCGAGTTGGTGGGTCGGCCTGCGTTGAGCAGGAGCGGTTTATGACTCATGCGAGTTTAATAGTAGTGCGCGAGAGACCAGTTACGGAGGAGTGCCCGCATCCGTGTGTTTCAAAATATGTGGAGTGGAGTGTAAGAGTAAGAAATGGGATGAGGACGGTGGGTCAGAATTTGAAAGCTGACTGCAGGCAAGGAAACTGGAAAGACAGCAAGCCCTGTTGTGCGCACAGGAAATCTGCGCATGCGCAGAACGTGGGCATGTGATGTTTATGATACACAGCAGTATGTAGAGAGAGCAAGATCGTGCACACACGTAAGGAGGGTTATGCAACCCGTTATAAAGGCCAACAGCGAAGCAATGGTACGTGACTGTTAACAACGGTTAACTCCTACGTTAACCGAACATTTAACATTCTACTCCCCATGCTAGAGTATAGAGTAGACACACATGTGTGCAGGACGCGACACACCAAAAGACAAGAGAGTGAGTTTGGAAGAATAGGAATGTCGGGCAGAGTAGCTCGCCTCAATTGAGTGCGCGTTAACGAATCGTGTGGTCGGCCTACCGAGGGCAGGAGCTGTATATGACCAAGTGGGTCGGCCTGCGCTGAGCAGGAGCGGTTTGTGACCCATGCGAGTTTAATAGTAGTGCGCGAGAGGCCAGTTACGGAGGAGTGCCCATGCCGACATTCCCATTAGGGCCAGAGATAGTGGGTGATAACAACCAATATAGATGGCAAGTATGTATTGCACAAGAGCGTTGTTCTAGAGGCATAAAGACAGACTAATATTGTGGAGTAGGATCGACAGAGAACGCTATCTGCATCCTAAGTGAATGTCTTTGCACTTACTCAGTGATCGGCTGGACCACGGTATCAGGCCGCTCCGCAGCTGTAGGAGCAAAGGTCCTGAAGGCATCCATCTTGTTCCAGGACAGGGCATCAGCGATGGTATTGGAAATTCCTGGCAGGTGCGATGCTCGGATCAGGAAATTGTGCTTCACACAGATTGAGTACAGGGTGCAGATGAGTGCCATGACTGCAGGAGACCGGCTCCTGCCCCTCTTCGGGCACTCCACGACAGCTTGGTTGTCGCACTGAAACTCCACACGCAGCCGCAGCCACTCGATCCCCCATGTGGCGCAGGCCACGACAATGGCGAAGAGCTCCTTGTAGGTAATGCTTATTTCCAGTTGCTGCGGGGACCAGTCACCTCTGAACCAGCGACCATTGAAGAAGGCTCCAAATCCAATGGTGCCACTTGCGTCGGTTTGCAACTGGAGGTCAGTGCTGGGCATCCACTTCTCCAGCAGGAAAAATGACTTTCCGTTCCATGTTGACAGAGTCTGGTGCCACCAGCTCAGGTCGCCCTTGGCTGAGGCTGAGAGGTGCAGCATTCGGTGAGATGACATCTCAGATGTGGCCTTGTCGAGGTCATACAGGCGGCGTAAGAATGAACGGGCGGCCGGAATTGCTCTGGAAGCGAACGAGAGGTGGCCCAGGAGTGAGGCGAGTTCGTGTTTGAGAACGCAACCCTTGCGCGGTCAAATAGGAAGAAACATACTGCATATTACGGATGGCCGACAGGTGATTGGGAGAACTATGAACACCAGATATAGCAGCAGAATGGCCTATCGTGAAACCGTGACACAACCCATGCAACACAAAGTGAGAGGAGTGATCAGAATGACGGTTAAGGAGCCCGGCTAATCGGCTAACATTGATGGGGGTCTCCACAGAATGTTTGCGGAGCAGACGCTGAGGTGGCGGACTGTCCCCTGCCACATTTGACTTCTGGGTGCTTCCCGCGGCATTGAAGGCACACGTGGGCAGGATAGCAGAATGAGTTGTTGCACTGGTCCCTGTTGAAGTTGCGGCAGATAGGCTTCCCAAGATGGGTTGGCGCGCTGGACTCCGGCGGACCTCCACTCCCAGCGCCGTCGGATGGAGGCCCTGGTCTAAAGGGACACCGGGCCTAGGCTACTGGGTGCACCAGAGAACAGCGCGAACATGGCGGGCGACCACGGCTGGTGAATGACGACTGCCACAAATTAGAGTCGATGACAGCCCAGTCGTACGACAGTGGTTGGGAGTCTATGGCGCGCCGGAAACGCCTGTCATAACTTAGCCATGCATCCACGTGATACGAGTTATTCGCATCCAGAATAGTGGCATGATATGCCAGCAAATCATTTGCCCTATCTGGAGCCGCCGCGACAATTACTCTCGTGTAGACAGTAAACGCCTTGAGCTATGACGCTACATCGTGGACATGGCGGCGCTGGGCCTGAGTTGGCTTCTGTACAAGTTGGACAGAGCGGTTGGCCCCCACAGCTAGCTGGACCACATCGGGCTCCACATCCAGCTGGTCCGGGAGGAGGTCGTCGAAATCAATAAGCACGAATGACCGCAATTGGCCCATATGTTGTAGTCTTTTGGACGCTGAATCGACTGGTTTTGGTCCGAAAAGGCTGCGATGTAGCGTTCGGCCCTTATTCCCAATCGAACATGGTTGAACAAGTGGTCACGTGCTCCTGCGTACACCAATCACCTGGTCACCACGCCAGTAGGCGACAAATTTCACACCAGGGTTCAACTCAAAGGTGTAAAGGTTCAACTCGAGTGACAGAAACTCGCCCCAAACATGCTGTAAGTTGTAGCCTGCAGGCACAGTAACCAGGTGACTGGTGTACGCACGAGCACGTGAACGCTTGTCCAGCCATGTTCGATTGGGAATAAGGGCTGAACGCTACATCGCAGTCTTTTCGGACCAAAACCAGTCGATTCAGCGTCCAGAAGACTACAACATATGGGCCAATCGCGGTCATCCGTGCTTTTATAAGAACGACATGGTGCTTTTAGTGAGATTTTGCATACAAATCCCCATCTATAGTCTTTTTCAAAAAATTTAAAATCAGGTTTGGGTCTTAAAAAGTATGAAGATAAGGGAAATTTGGACAACAACGTACATAGAATGGCTTGTTAGGACACGGCAAATTGTTCTGTGAAGGTTTCGGAACAATTGGACCAACCGTTAAGGAGTTAGAATTTCGGCCAGGTTTCCGGCCTTTTCCCATGGTTTACAATTTGCCCAGGAAGCCAGTATCGATTTTTTATCAAAACCCACGATTTTTCCTTTCCTTTTTGGCCTTGTGGTTATGAATGCTGTCTGCTGACCATGAAGTTGTGAGTTCAAATCCCGACCTATCCTCAAGTCAAACTAGTTTTCATTGTTTTGGTGATCAAGCTGGTACAAGACAAAGAAGGTGGCTGCACCAAACGACTTGTTGTTGGAGCTCGCGCTTCCTGCCAAACTGACTGACACTTGACTGGCTTACACCATGTGAACACACCCACAACACTGCAATGGTGTGAGTGAATTATAATGGAAGTCATCGCGCTGTAGCTTTTTGAGATTTATTTTAGTATTTCAAGATTGCCAATTTATTTGAATTTAGCAGTCAACGCCGTCTTCTATAAGCGTTCACAAGCGTCTGCTTTTCTCAAAATGTCGTCGAAGTCACACGGATAGCTTTGCCAAGTCATGGCCTTGGGAATGAGTCCGTGTCGATGTCGTTTTCGTCACACGGTGAGTAAATTGCATCGCAGCTCAAAGAAACTATTTTGGTCACAAAACGGACCCATGCAGCTCGTCAACATTTACAACACTTTTCGTTTCGACATGTCCTCTCTTCCATTGTCGATACGAGGAAGAACTCGTTTGTTGTAAACCAGACGTACATGACTGTGTCAACGTGAGTGAGTTGTCATTTTTCCTGCTTTCGCGCGGAATATTTCTTCGAGTTCACAGTGAGTTTTTCCAGGCAGCGCTCGAGTGCTCATACGGTAAGACGCCAAACTCCGCGGGCGATCGCCAGGATTGCAAATCTTTTTGAAACGGACTGTAGTAGGGCGCAGTCATCCAGTTTCGGTGGAAGTGCGCGAGGTCGATTGGGAATAAAGAAGGAAGGGAGCGTTTCAGCTTCCTCGGACCAAGACCATTCGACTCAGCATCCCGAAGACTACAACTGGTGAAAATTTGATTTTTAGGCTTAACTTCCCCTTTAATTTCGTGTTTGTTTGTGCCATCGGCATGCCTGGCGCTATCCCGTACCTGCCCCGTACCGTACCAACAAAGACAGCTGGCCACAATATTCAAATAGGACTGTCAAGTGCAAGATCATAATGTGAAGCAACTTGGAAGAATGAGTATGTATGCGAAGTGTGTCGGGGGAATGCATGCAGGGCGATAGTGCGGGTTCGAGTCCCAGGTAATGTCTTGAAAAAAATTGGAGAAAAATCCCTATGCTTTTTTGCCGAGGTCATCAAGGTGGTAGACGGTGTCGTATTCAAGTACCCTCGAATGAAAAGAGAAAGTTTATTTCTTTCGCTCAGGGCCCTACGCTATGCTTTTTTTGCCTAGCTCATCATGCATGTTATTAGAACAGGTGGAAACTTTTTGCAATACAATGATGTAGCCGATCAGTTCGTTGTGGTATGGTTGGGCATTGTAGCCGTCATAGTCGAAGTAAAACACTATAAGACCACAACGAAGTTGGGGCCAAAGAGAAAGTTCCATCAGTTCTAATAACATGCATGATGAGGTAGGCAAAAAAGCATAGCGTAGGGTCCTGAGCTTCCAAGCTCTCTCGTTATTGTAATATTGACAAAGCAATGAAAGAGAGATAGAAAGTCAACTGCCTTCGATGAAACCAAACTAACTACTGGCCTAAAGCCAAGGGTGAGAATGTCTTGGCCAGTAAGGAAAATGGTGTACATGTGTAGTAATGACATAGTACAGTGACAGTGTATATTATGGTCACCACAAGGCTATAGTGCATTTCAAAAGTATAGACCTCTAGACTTTTTGAATAATTCAAATTTGGTTTGAGCTTTTGGAGAAATTTCTTAGGAATGTTGCTCAGGCAGGTGTCACAATTTTTCTCATGCCGGTATAAATTTCTAAGCGATTGGATAAAAAAGGTCCAACCATGGAAAATTTATGCACGAAGCGATCACAGATTTATGTGGTATAGATGCGGGCCAAACGGTTTTTTGAAACCAGAGGTCTGGACTTTTGAAACGAACTATAACTCGAACTAGGAGACTTGCGCAACAGGAGGTAGTCAACACACCCAAACTCTCATCATGTACAAACTCGTTTCTCCAACATGAACTGTTAGTCTGTAGAATCAAGACTGGCATTGTCAACAGGCATCATCAAAGTCACAACACTAGCACTGGAACTCACCGGAATAATATAACATCCTTGAGATTTGAGTGCCGATGCCTGAAGAGTTTCATACCCGGTAGGTGAATGTACAGGATGACGTAGGAACTGGGTGAACGGGTTGTCCCTCACACCCAGATAGGCCACAACACTGAAACCATGACATCTAGCTGCAGTCATATCTACTGATACACCTTTGTATACATCAGCTGGATACGCGTCAGTCTCCACTGGTTCATGGTCTTGGTTGAAGATGCAGAATGCCTGAACTTTCACACCATCAACCAGAGATATGCCAGTGGTGTACTTTGAGCCAATGAAGTATGACAGCATGTCATACATTCCACCTGACTGCTGACTTGTCAAATCCTTCTCGTACCGCACAAAATCGTATGATCTTTTCAATATCTGTAGCCGCTGTTTGTTAGTGACAGGGAGGGTGTTGTGTAAATATAGCAATTGCACAACGTGAGGTAAGCGTCCTGCACAGAAGCCAGGGTGGAGAATATTGAGAGAAACACACAGTGATGACATCTGAAAGTGATTTCCACACCAACAGACTACTTCCTGTAAAACAGACACAATCAGGGGAACAACACTGGATGAATTTTTGTTGGTAACGGTGAGTTACAAATTTGGTGCACATACTTCTTCAAGTACACCTAAGTCCTTACTTATACTGTCTGTCCTGTTTCCAAACATCATCAGGATGCATATTGCACATTGTACTGCATTCTGGTGATAGCAATTTGTCGAAATGTCGAAACTGATAAATGTACAGTGAACTGAGGTGTGATTTTGCAGTGCTGAGGAATAAAGCAGGTGTGCTCAAAACTTTCCCTAGTTTTATATAGCTGCGGGGTGCCCTATCTATATCACTGAAATGTACTCGATTGCGAAAATGCTAACCCCAGTTTGGAAAAGCTGCAGACTTTCCATCTACGGTAAAAGCCATTATTCTAACGAGGCACATATATAACGATTTCACAAAATTGACTAGTTTACGTGTACCAAAGGTAACGATTCTCACTCATTCTCAACGCTCAATAGGACATAATATGTATCGATTTCTGTATAACGATTTCTATTTTAACGACAGATTTCTCCTCGTTAACTCGTTAGAGTTAGCACTTATAATTATGGCTTTTACAGTACATGACGCACCCCTCGTATGATCCTGCCATCATGACGATTTTAGAAACCCCAAGTTGGATCATCAGTTTACAACATACATCATCATCATTATGTGTGTAAAAGTGACCCTGCATCAGCAGAGTACTGTGCAGCAAAAACCATAAACTGAGATCGTTTCTTTTCTTGTTTAAAACAACAATTGGTTTAAACTTTGAGACATCAAGGACAATAACTATAGAGCTACGCGATCACGTTGTTTGAAGACATCGCGCCAAAGGCTGGTCAGGATCCGGAAACCTTGGCAGAGCGCATGTTCGATGCACTTTCCAACAATGGCTATGGTGAGTGGGATGAGATTGGGGTATGGGTTACACTTGCAACTCTGTGTGAGCAGAAATTCCACAACCAACAGACACACGTCTCTATTCCATAGGTCTTATTCCAGAATAGACTTACTGTGTATCAGAAGATTAACATTGATCAGCTTCAGCAAGGCACTGCACTCTACACCACACAGTGTACAGTAGAGAAGTAGTCCATGTACTTCAGCATTGCGCCGCTCAGTGGGAACATCTGTACTCTGTATGGTCAAATAGCGATTCATCAGGTGTTGGGCCAGGCAACGGTCCGGTGAATTCAATTTAAACAATGCATATGCACACTGAACAACACATCTACATTCCTCAATGCGCATGACATCAAGCTGCTGTTGTAGTAACTTCGTGAATTCTGTAGTTGAACATCGGCACTTTGCGGCCCAGCACACTGCCCATAACAGGTTGTGTTGGTTCTTGCTTTCTTGCCAGATTTCAGTAGGTAGACTGGCTAGCTGATTAAGTAAAGACACTGTCAGCTTGGTGACGTCAGTGTTCTCCTCACTGAAAGGAGAATTGATAAGAGCGCATGCGTGCAGGAGGGTCGTGATCTTTTTCGCACTCAGTAGTTCAGTAACATGACGTTGAATGAGAGAACATTGTGATATCAGTTCACTGGCGGGTTGATCAGTGCGTTTCTTCCAAATGCTATCACAGATTGAATCAATGGCATCAACAGCATCATGTACCGTAGAGACTTGACGACCAGACTGATCTGATCTCCACCTAACTGACTGTCTGGACTGTGCTGATGTCTGATTCACCTTGCTAGTAACACATAACCTTGATCCGCTGGTTGACTGGACTAACCGGCTCTGTACACTCACAGCATAACCACGCTGAACAAACTTACTGACAGTCTTGAGATTGCCATGTAACTTTGAAGCAAACATGTTCTCCTGATGATGTTGTATATTCAGTAGTACACGGGTGTATAGCGTACAGTGTATGGTGTGGATTACTGAGAATTTGTCAGAAGATTACGTACTGCCGGTCTGTAGAGAATAACACACAGTGCGGCAAAATACACACACACACACACACACACACACACACACACACACACACACACACACACACACACACACACAACACACACACACACACACACACACACACACACACACACACAAACACACACACACACACACACACACACACACACACACACACACACATACACACAACAGATCAGATACTAGATGCAACTGTTCACAATATCTACAGCCGCAGTGCTAGACATCGGATGAAATCCGGGATCATGAATAATACACTCCCATACTGCAGTGCACAACCCAATGTTGGAAGGTCTACAGCTGCACAGTGTCCAGTACTAGCTGACTTACATGAACCAGATTTCAGTGACCAACACTTACTGCCTCAATCAGATCAGTCACGAAGGACATGATTCGTAAAACTGTTTTTGGGGGTTTTCAGTAAAATGCAAAAGATCACTTCAGTCAGTTTATAACTACATGTACACGTGTTGTTTGACTCGAAAACAAACTTCAGTCAACCACATCGAAATTCCCTGGCAATTATTATTTGGCCTAACTAAGGATGGGTAAACGAGTCACCAACATGTACCCCGGCGTACTCGTTCTCTACTACAGTAGTTTTAGGAGTTGTTAAAGGGAAACTGAACGCCAAAAATAAGTATGGCTTATCCGAAGGGGAATTGGGCACTGATTCCGATGAGCTATGCCTCGAGCCGATCAGAGAAGAGGAACCGTGTCAAATTTCATAAATAACACCTTCAATATTTGGAAATTGGGCTTGATGACGTGCGTACTGCTTAGCTGTCACCATGCTGTGCATGCTCAGCAGTGTAATCGAATGGAAGAAAACAATTACTTTGGTGTTTTGCAGCTCTATTTCGTTCCCTGACGGTAACCAAATCTAGATGTAGGAATCTGTTGAGCAGGAGAGTGACACATGTCTTCCCAAAGGCTGTCCAGGCTGCAGTGGTGATGAAGAAGACACGATCATCACCCCGAGATCGATTGTAGCGAATTGGAAAACTCATGGTGAATTTGCTTCCACTCCAAGGCAATGTCGAGGTATGAAGGGTGCTTGTACTGCCTTCCAAAGTGAAGAGGAGATGAACATGGCTGTGCATAGCTGTTGTTCTATGCCAACTTACCTACTCTTGCTGGTACTGTAGTGCTATATTGCGAATTTCGTGGACGAACAACTCTAAGTCACTAGTGGCTAGTGAGCAACACTAACAGGTGAGATTTTTCAATTTGACAAAAATTGTTTTTGTTTGAGAACTGACAATGGTAGTCATTAGACTCAGTAGGTGTCTCTCTGCTACTTCTTTCCCTTCATCGGTAGGGTTGTGCTTGAAGTAAAAATAAATAGAAAATGTGGAACAAAAATCTGATCATGTACTGATGTAGTTCGAATTTCAACTTCAAACTCAAAGTATGTGTACATTAAATCACAAAAATTTCAAGGTGGTGCTGTGCATTGAAAAAGACTGTTAGCTGGCAGCAATGGAAAGGGTAGAAACGAAACCAGTAATGTAGAGTATTCATAAGGTAGAGGGAGCTGAAAACGGGAGAGGAGTAGTGAGCATTTCAGTTCGAAGTAGTGTCAACAGACAGCATTGTGTTGCATACGTTGTGAATATTGTGTGAATCTAATAATTGGCGGAGGGTAGTGATTAGGCAGAGCATTGTTACAATACAAGGTACTTTGTGAGCAGATAGAAATCAATATCATGGCATGGTTTAGACAGGAACTCATAAATGTCACGAAATTGCTAATCCAAAATTATAATAATATCCCCTGAGTAGTATTTTTCATTATGGTATTCTCCTGTGTTTACATGCAGAGCCTTGACGTTGCTGGACGAGCGACAATATAAATTACATAAACATGTAGCTCATGATGTGGAATGACTGCCGTATCGCATTGCCAACGCAAACCCATCCTGTGTCAGTGCAGCCATCCAGCAACTTCAACTCCCCGGACCAGATGCCGCTGCAGCTGAACACCATGCCGATGGAAAGCCAGGAGTTGATAGCAAAGCATTCTGGTCTGCACAGTACAAGCCGGCAAAGAACAATTATGAATTATAACGCATTGTAGTCCTTCCCACACTTCTTTGTAAAAACAAACAAACAGTGCCATTATCACAACACTTGATCAAGCATCTTGATGGAGGTATTTTCCATTGTGCTGGCCCCGCATCTGCACCAGGAAGACCATGTACACTTACACGTATCTTGTGTGTTCGGGCGTGTGTGTTTCTGTATTCGTCTGTGCACACGTGTGTGTGTGGGGGGGGGGGTCCTACGCACATGTGTATGGGTAGGAGTGTGTGTGTGTGTGTCGGGGGGGGGGGGGGGGGGTACATGCACATGTGTATGGATGTGCGCGCTGCACGCGCGTGTCTGTGGGATGGGGTGGGGGTGCACGCACATGTGTGCATGTGTGTGCGCAATACAGCATGTGTGTATGTGTTCGTTGAACACATGGTGTCCTCCTGATTCCATAAACTTTGTGATATATGGACATTTAATGTGCTTTGAAGTTGAAATTCGCAATACATGTACTGATGCTTGATTAGATTTATGTTCCACATGTTCTATGTATTTTATTTCACTTCAAGCACTTGTACTATTCAAGCACAACCCTACGAATGAAGGGAAAGAAGCAGCAAAGACACCTACTGAGTCAAATGACTGCCACTGTCAGTTCTCAAACAAAAACATTTTTTTGTCAAATTGAAAAATCTCACCTGTTAGTGTTGCTCACTAGCCACTAGTGACTAGAGAGTTATTCGTCCACGAAATTTGCAATATGCCACTACGGTATCAGCAAGAGTAGGTAAGTTGGCATAGAACAACAGCTATGCACAGCCATGTTCATCTCCTCTTCACTTTGGAAGGCAGTACAAGCACCCTTCATACCTCGACATTGCCTTGGAGTGGAAGCAAATTCACCATGAGTTTTCCAATTCGCTACAATCGATCTCGGGGTGATGATCGTGTCTTCTTCATCACCACTGCAGCCTGGACAGCCTTCGGGAAGACATGTGTCACTCTCCTGCTCAACAGATTCCTACATCTAGATTTGGTTACCGTCAGGTAACGAAATAGAGCTGCAAAACACCAAAGTAATCTGTCCCCGGGGAAAATTGCGGAAAAAAATCGCAAAAAACGCGGGGAAAATAATATGGCATAATTTGCGGTGAATTTGCGGTAAATATGCGGTAAATATGCGGTGAATAATATTGATGTGCGGCAATTTTCAGTGAGTATGTAGTGAAATCAATCAGTTACAAGTCTCTGGTGTGAGCACTCGTCATATTTGAGTAAAAAGCCGCCACGATGAGACGTTGCTGACCGAACAGTGCACTGTGTGTACATGTAGTGCAACAAAAAAGTTCAAAAAACGCGGGAAAATCGCGGAAAATCGCGGAAAACGCGGTCTTTTAAAAAATCGCAAAAAACGCGGAAAAAAACGCGGCCGCGGAATCGCAATTTCCCCCGGGGACAGAGTAATTGTTTTCTTCCATTCAATTACACTGCTGAGCATGCACAGCATGGTGACAGCTAAGCAGTACGCACGTCATCAAGCCCAATTTCCAAATATGGAAGGTGTTATTTATGAAATTTGACACGGTTCCTCTTCTCTGATCGGCTCGAGACATAGCTCATCGGAATCAGTGCCCAATTCCCCTTCGGATAAGCCATACTTATTTTTGGCGTTCAGTTTCCCTTTAATATTAAAACCTCTCGATATTTTCGTCGGCTGAAAAGTCGGATAGGGTGGTAAGATTATGCATGTCCGATACACAACACATAGCCTCATTGAAATCAGGAAAAAAAAAGCTCGAACGCACTCAGCCCCGCAGTCAACTACTAGTATTGTTTCTTCAACATTCATGTACTAGTACTAGTCAGTCATCTTCTTTTTTGTACATACCGGTACATAATTCTCTTACCCCAGTAAGTTTTGATAGCCGTATGATACAGTTGCACAGTGACTAACAGAGATTATCAGCACTGCGCAGATTACCACAGCAACACTGTTGTGAATGTAACAAACTATTATCCACGTCAGTAGCCAATAGTGCACCTTCTCAGCAATCGACGCCAGGATAAGGAATATTCTTCAACTGATGATATAAACCAGCGAGTGCCACTAAGTCCTTTCTGACCATAGCATAACAACACGCTAGCACTAGCTGGTAGATCTACATTCTACACTCAATACGTATTGATACGATGAAGGCGAGATCGAGGTGCTCTTGTTGTTTCTTGTTTTTTTATATCGTTTTTTTTAGCGCAAATGGCCAAAATTTGCAAAAAGACTTTTGATAACAATGTTACATACGCGTCATCACTCACGTGTCAAACCCTACGGACACGGTCTGCACATAACACTAACACAGTAACCATGGTAACAGTCCGGTGCAACTGCATGCATGATTTTCTCTGACTGCTGAGTTGCCGCTAGCGCGCTGCCCCAAACACAAGCCGCACTCGGGACATTACGGTTATCATGTATTCATCCGGATAGCTCCCCCCCCCCCCCCCCCGGTAGATCTACTTATTTTTCAATACGAGATCAAAGACAGAAACAGTATTCAGAACCGAGCAGCAGTGATATCTGGACATCCGTACGCTACATGACATACTGTCGTGGACATGGAAATCTGGTCGCGCGTCTACCGGCCCCAGGGCTCTGGCTATGCAGCCGTGGATAAGGGATACACACATGCATTTATGCGCTTCAGCGTGCTGGTCGCATCGGATGAACATGTGCACTGCACGCAGCGTTCTGTACGCGCTGAGGGCGCCGGCCCCGGTCAATCGACTGGATTTCCATGCCCACGACAGTAGGTCATGTACATGTAGATTGAAGTGATTTGTTGATGAGAAACAAGAGAGGCAGGTCAGGACCCTTGCTAGGATCGGTCCATGTTAGTTCTATGTTAATCCTCATACGGACAAGCCACGCCACCAGGCTGCAACACACGCGATTGGTCAAAATCCGATCTCACATGGTTCGTGCCGCCTTACAGAACCCCCCCCCCCCCCACACACACACACACAGATCACGGCAGACGCTACTACCTTTTAAACATGTAGCTCAGTCAAGAATCAGGATCCTGGTTATTCCAGATGCTACATGTACTACGTGTACTATGGACAATGGACGCTGAAAACACACATGTGGAGGATTCACAATAATAATATCAAGGTACATGATTATATAAGCACGCACAAAGATAAAATATGGGAATGAATTGAATGCACAGATACGCAAACACTCGCGCACAAACTCAACAATGCCTTGATTTCAAAAACACAATCAACATGCATACTTCACTAGCACTAGCAGCATTACCCTCTCACATCCGATGTACTCAGTTACTCAGCCGGGAGTGGAATTAAACAAGATGCAGCACCAACTTCCTCAGTGTTCGGCTCAGCAGAAAAAGGGGCAAGGAATCGAAGAAATTTAAACTTCAATCACTAGACAGACATATTCCAGTCTCGAGTGATTTAAACACACTTCCTGCACAATTCGGCTTAGTTTTCTGCTGTTAAGAGATATCTGCGAGAAAACCGTAGAAGTACACAACCAGCAAATACTAGAATCAGGAAAGTATTACACAGCTCACCCCACCCTCTATGGTGGTGGTCAAGTTTCTTTCCTGACGTGGCTAGCTACATGTACATGCATGTACAGTCAACTTTGCGTATAATGACACTCGGCGGGGCATCAGAAAAGTGTCTGTATTTGCGAAGTGTCCTTATATCCGAAGTCTCATTATATGTATTATGTATTATAGTTATTAACAGGTTTGAGGGAAAGAGACAAACGGGAAAAGTCTGAAGAAAAAATTGACTGTCACCACCAGGACTCGAACCAGGGACCCTCGCTTGTATTATAGTTAGATGGCAATTTGCTCTGGGCATGGAAATTCTGTCGCTATTCGCGAAATGTTGTTATATCCGTAGTCGTTATTAGCGAAGTTGACTGTATCTCTGTACCATACTGTTGCGATGGCAAGAATACATAAAGCAGAGTGTACGACTCTGTAGATGGGTTCTGGACAGTAGAATTCTCCATTTATATACGTTTTGATTAGTCATGGATGCCATGATCCACTTTTATACTCTTGCTCTGTATCAATAAGACCTGTGATGTCAGTTTTAAAGAAAACTAGACGGCAAAGATTATGTAAGCGATATGGTGCACTTCTGCGTATCTAAGTCTAGTTTTTTTGTGTAGAACTCCGTGACCAGTCCAGGCCCTGTGACCAGTCCAGGCCCTGTGACCAGTCCATGCCCTATAACCAGTCCAGGCCCTGTGAACAGTCCAAGCCCTGCGACCAGTCCAGGCCCTGTGACCAGTCCAGGCCCTGTGATCAATCCAGGCCCTGTGACCAGTCCAGGCCCTGTGACCAGTCCAGGCCCTGTGACCAGTCCAGGCCCTGCGAGTAGTACAGACCCTCTGAACAGTCACTGGTCCTGTAACCAGTCATATCGTCAACAAAAAAACTAATGCCCTGTGACAAGTCGCAATACCAAACAAACATGGCTGAACCAATCACAGTTTCTACTGTGCCCCCAGACCAGTCATGAGGAGCATATCAGAAAGGAATTCGTCAATGTTCTGAATAGATAGTCCACTACACAACTCTAGGGGTTCACAATACCTACTGCTAATCAGCACACTCCTTTATGGTGGTACAGCCTCCTGGAACACATCAGGGTCAGCCAAGATATCGGATATTCTTCTACTGGTAGGCTTGAGGAGATCTTGTACTGAAGTATTATCACCGGCGGATAGTTAGACTGGGTATTCAGGTATAGTGTTGTCCTTGTCACCTTTTTCAGGTCCCGTTTGGCGTTACCCTGCGCATGGGGTTCTCCCCTGCTAGCGGACCGCGCTCAGACTGTGCAGGTTGCGCCACTGCACTCTAGTACCATTTCCGGACGACAATAGAGTCGTGGCGCCCGGTTTCGGTATGATTTGTGTTGACTGGTTTACAGATTTGCTTGTGTGATAACGAGGAAGTTCACTACTTCTAGGTTAGCATTGATCGTAATCTTCAACCCAAGACTCTGTAATTCCTGGATTATAGTCTTCCACAGGTCATCTAATCAGTCTCACTACCCGTTGTATTCATCAACATAGCTAGGTAACCACCACGATATAGCCAGATCAATTCCTTGCCGTTGTGCTTTTCTAGTTCG